GTAGCAGTGGAAGACCTGTCAGCACCAGGCTCCCTTTAGCACCCTGGCTGACAGACAGCTCCTGCAGTGCTGTCATGGAAACAGCCCAGTTATGTAAGACGAGCAGAACTCACCGGGCTGCGAACTGCACTTCGCTGCAGATTTCTGTGTTCACTTGCTCCCTGATGACACAACCTGAAGTGGAAGCCGATTGAGACGACGGGGGCCTGCCCTGCTGTTCAGCCTCTGTTTTAGTAATGCAGACTGCGTCCTCTGACTGCGGTCCCCCGTCTCCCCCACTCTCCTGACCGCGAGCACCACCGACACAGCAGCCCACCACAGGGACCCCAACACCTCCCCTCAAGCTGGCATCCACAGGCAGAGCCCAGGAAAGGTTACAGAAGGGCCCAGGCCATCCACCCCAGCTTGGGATCACTGATCCCACAGGCTGCAGCAGCTGTGTCCTGGGATCTGAACAGAACAGACCTCCTCTGGCTTGGGGCAGCGAGGTCTTCAGTGACAGGTCGTGCAGCACAGGACTTAGAAACCACACGACTCCCATCGCACGCCAGAGGCACGACACGCAAGCGTGAACACTCCATGCCAGACACACACCTGTAATACAGGGATAATGTCGTTTTTTCAACAACGTTCAACAAACGCATGTGTGCGAATTAGACACACTATAAGCAGTGTGATGCACGGGCAAAGCGAATAACAGCAACGCGCTGCACAGAACACACGGCCTCAGTCGACACCCAGCCCGCTAGGCACCCGCTGCAGGCTGCACACCGCACGCAACGCCATAGGGAAACCACACTGGCAATAGGCACAGTCTACTTGAAAACACGTCTAGGCGTCTCGGCTCCACGGGAAGGATCGCGTTTGAACCCAGATCTTCCGCTGCCGCCCCGCTGACATCACTCGCTCGCTCGGTATATAAGCAGCGCTCGGAGCCCGCGGGAGCAGCAGGCTGCCTCCCTCGGCGAAAGAGGAAGATCCCAGACAGATCCGGAGACGACAGGCTGTGCACTAACGAGCGCCCACCTGCCCTCGGTCCGCGACGCGACGCGACGCGACGCACTTACACCCCGCCTCTCTGCGCTCCGTCTGCCGGGGGACAGCGATCAAGCGCCCCGCTCCTCGGAACCGCCGCTCTCCTGGGTCCGGGCTGCGCTCCGCGGGAGGAGACCCGACTCCCCGATTGGCTCCCGGACGCCGGACTGACAGGGCGGGCTGGTTTCGCTGGCGG